ACTACTACGATTCATTATAACAATATGATTAAAGTCACTTTCTATTATTGCTTTTGATTCATCATGAATAACTTTACATTGATCAAGAGGAATATATAAATGTTTACGCGTATGAATTGAATCATTTGTCCATAATTTATTTGCTCTTTTCAGTGCTGATAACTAATTAAATTAATTAATCAATTAATAAATATTGATTTTGATTTTTTTTCTTAAAAAAAAAAGAGATGATAAGATAATAATAATAATAATTCACAAACCTCAATTCCATAAAGTAATGCAATACCTGGCAATGTGTCAGAAGGTTTTACAATATGTACGGCAACCAGTTTATTTTCTAAACTATTATCAATTGATGACGATTTTCCTTCTGAATGTTCATTTATATTATTACTATTATTGTTATTTTGTTGCTTTTTTAAATCTTTAATTAACGAATAATCATAATCTCTTAATTTCAAACCATTATCATCATAACATTCTAAATAAGTAGGTAAATAAGCTTTATTAGAATTAAAAATAAATTTTTTTGAAAATGTTATTAATGTAGCAGCTGGTAAATCTGTGGGTTGATCAAGCGGATGTTCAGTTGTTGGAGTAAGAGGTAATTTACGAGGAAAGCTGGTTTTTTTAAATTTTACTGAAGCGTTTGTTAATGATGATAAACTGCTGTCGATACTGTTGTTGTTTTCTGGAAAAATAATAGTTTTAAAGTCTAAAGAAGTATTGGTGTTCCAAGGATCAACTTGTATTTCTAAAATATTATTGTTATTATTAACCAAATTAGCTTGTTCTATAGAATCTTGAAAATAATTTAAATTCATTTTTATTTTTTTTATAAGAAAATGTTTTTGTATCACATGTCAAAATACTAAAAAGAGCAATCGAATAAATTAAAAAAAAAAAAATTTATTGTTGTCCAATAATGTAAAATTTTAATTGAGAGTAACAAGTAAGCTTTATTTATTTATTATTTATTGTCGTTGTCGTCTTTTAATCTATGTAATGTGATTTATTAAGAGGAATTTGTAAATTAATTCATGGGATTACTAATAAATGGGAGAATTTACATATATGCAAAAGTTTCTATATTTAAATTAGTATTATTACTGTATATGGATAGATGTTGTGTATATATAGTTAAGGTATATACAATTAATAGAAATGGAAAAGTCACGTAAAAATTAAAAAACTTCTAATTTCTTTTTTTTTTCTTTAGACTTGGTAGTAGTTTTATAATTCAGAGATTTCTTGTATATTTTATATTTAACAAATTCCGGGTCTCTATTCGTGTCACCACTTGCTGCTACTTCTCGTGAAAGCAATCCGGCCGGAGAGACTAATTGTCCCAATAAACGTTGAGATTGTATTTTATGAAATTTCGCATTATGTCGACGAGATGCGGATTTCTTGTTATTTTCATTGTCGTTCTCGTCGTCATATTCATCATTAGGCGATAGTGCTATTGGTTTTGATGTTGATGATTTGTCCTCATTCAAATTCTCCTTTGATAAATTCATCGACTTATTCTTGTTCTTGTTCTTATTCTTATTCTTATTCTTATTCTTATTATTGCCTTTTTCTTCTGCTTTTACTTCTTCAGTCGAACTATTACCTAATTTAGCAGCTGCAGCATATGTAGAATGTTTTTGAGATTGTATTAATTGATATTCGCTGTCTTCTGTATCAATATCACCAGCATCGCCACCGCCACCAATTTTTGGACGAATAACACAAACACTGATACGTTGGGAAAGTTCGATATCTTCTTCAACCTCCCACATATTAATTTCTTCCCAATTTTCATTTGCCATTTTTATTTTATTTTGATTTTGTTGTTATTGATTGTATTAAAAACTTTTTATATTAAATTAAAAAAAAGTATGTATTGGTTGTTTATTATTTTAAAATCAAAAAAAAGGTTTTTTTTTGATTTATTATTATTGTTTTTGTTTTCAAATTGAATGGTTTTGGAAATTCTTGACCCTTTTTATATAAAATTTATAAAGATAAGAACTATTGATATTATTATTATGTAATTATTATTACATT